CCAACATCACTTAGTACCAAGGCTCCTCCTAGCATTTCTCATCCCACAACCTACTCTAAACCTCTCACTCCCAGGGGCAGGGCTTCCCTCCCCCCAGCCTGATCCCTACAGAGTCCAGCCATTTTGGCTATGCCTGTCTCTTGACCTCTTCTCTGGGGTCTTGACTGGCCGCCCCTCCCTCCCTGCCTCCTTGCCTCCCTCCGCCCTCTCATGGTCTGGTTTAGCCTTTCCCCCTGCCTGCTTTCTCCCTTATAGCTACAATAAACATCTTCATACTTTATTATACTTTAGGAGTCATCATGCCCTCCTCCTTTTATTTCATTTAGGAATGTGATCTAGGAAGACCTGGGGAGAAGCTTGACCACTGTGGGAAAATCATAGCACAGGAGGATCTTCACATTAGCCAAATGGATTAAGATTAAAACCCAACATTCTGTCTTTAAGTGTTTTGTTGCTTCTTCAGTAGAAGGACCAGTCTTAATTCAGCTAATTAATCACTAAGCTAATTAGTGCATTAAAAAGTCTGCTTTTCTCTTGTTTGTTAGCAGAGGGAAAATAGAATCCATTTATAGAGCGTTGTTGTGCCTGTTTTAATTAGGAGCAAAGTGACTTGGCAGTAATAAGATCTGATGCTGCAGTTTCTAAGCTTTGACTTTTTACAATGAAATCCCAAGTAGTCACTTTGAAATCACATGGTTTTCAGCCCTGAAGTTACAATTCCCAACCTGTGGTCACTAATACCTTCTAGTAATGGTGAGTTTTTTCAGTCCTGGTTGAGAGTCAAATGCATATTTTGTTCTAGAGGCTCCGTCTTCTCAATTTATGAGACTTGCCAATCCATCCCCTCTAAAAGGTCTAGTCATAAGAACAGACACGGTACTTCCTCTGAAGACACAGGGCCGGCAGAGGAAGGAAGAAAGCAATCGCTTTCTGGATTTTTCTTGCAAAGGATGTGACAGTTATGCAAAGAAGGCTTTTTAATATTCATCAAAGGCCTTGGAACAATGTCTAGAAGATTTATGGAACTGAAAGTTCCTCTGGCTCAAGTTTCCTGGAAGCCTTTGTTCTGGGAAACCTAGGGAGAAGGAGATGCAAAGGCCACACAACCTCCTTTTGTTGCTAGGCAGGTATTTTAGGGACAATCACCTAGACTGGGTGAGGGACACTGCAACTGCTTTAAATGACCATACCACTCCTTCAAAGTTTTTGTTTGTTCCAAATAAGATCTTCCAGACAAACTTACAAGAGCCAGTCTCTAGGTCACTCCCACTATTTTATGTCAACTGGAATATAGTTTATTAATCAAAAACTGCTAAATTTCTATTAGCATATACTAATTATAGAAAGTAACAAGTTTCTTGTGGCATTCCCAGGCATGCATACAATGTATACAATGTGCTTGGATCTTCCACAACGTTTTGTATCCTAATGCCCTCCATCCCCCTCCCTTTCCCTACCCCTGAGTCTCCAGGCACGCTTAGTTTTATGTCCTTGCCTCTTCTCTTCCTACACTGCACACAGGACAAAATTCGAGACTCTTGTCTTTGTGGGACTAACACATTTCTCTTAGCAATGGCATTCTTGTCCACTATATTTTTGATAATATGGTATGACTTCAAAATGAACATGCTCGTGACTGAACACTGGACTATGATACTGTTCTTGTGAGCCCTGGTGCATTCTTCGTCGAGGAGACTCTGCTTTGGGACTGAGCAACAGAGTCATCAATTGCTGGAGTACCAAGCCCCTTCCACTTTGTGGATAGTACTTACTGGCTTCACCCTTGCTCGCTCAGGGAGCACAAGACAGTGGCTGAACTGCCTGCTAGTCACCAGCCTGTTTGGTGACACTCATGTCTTGTCCTCCGACTGACTGAGGTTAGAAAGTACTAAGCAACTTCCAGGCCACATGTTGGCAAAAAGAACATTTGAAAATGGCTTATAAGCAGCACTCCATTCAAAAGGGATTTCTGAAGAGATTAATCAATTCTAGTAGAGATGCGTACATGCCAGATCTGTCCCAGACACAGGAAAAGGGCACATGGAGGCTACAGAAGCAACTAGGGAGGGGCTGGTCAGGGTTCTGCAGTTCTAACAGTCTAGTAGACAGGACAAGACTCAGCCTGAGGAATAAGAGGGGCTTCAGACAGAGCTATGCTCAGAAGTGTGGAGCACAGGCTACAAGATCAACTCAAGAAAATCAGTAGCCCTACTATATACAGATGATAAAAGGGCTGAAAGAAATCAGAGAACATCACCCTTTACAATTGCCACAAACAACATAAAATACCTTGGGGTAACGCTAACCAAACAAGTGAAAGACCTGCATCAAAAGAACTTTGAATCTTTAAAGAAAGAAATTAAAGAAGCCATCAGAAAATGGAAAGATCTCCCATGCTCTTGGATAGGTAGGATCAATGTAGTAAAAATGGCAATCCTGCCAAAAGCAATCTACAGATTCAATGCAATCCCCATTAAAATCCCAGCACAATTCTTCACAGACCTTGAAAGAACAATAATCAATTTTGTATGGAAAAACAAAAGACCCAGGATAGCCAAAACAACCCTGTTCAACAAGGCAACGTCCAGAGGCATCACCATCCCTGACTTCAAGCTCTATTATAGAGCTATAGTCCTGAAAACAGCTTGGTATTAGCACAAAAATAGACAGGTAGACCAAAGGAATCGAATTGAAAACACTGATATTAACCCACACACGTATGAACATCTGATCTTTTACAAAGAAGCTAAAAATATACAATGGAAAAAAGAAAGCATCTTCAACAAATGGTGCTGGCATAACTGGAGGCTGGCATGTAGAAGAATGCGGATCGATCCATGTCTATCACCATGCACAAAACATAAATCCAAATGGATCAAAGACCTCAACATAAATCCAGCCACACTGAACCTCTTAGAAGAGAAAGTGGGTGGTACCCTTGAATGAATTGGTACAGGAGACAGCTTCCTGAACATATCACCAGTAGCACAGTGAGATCAACAATTAATAAATGGGACCTCCTGAAACTGAGAAGCTTCTGTAAGGCAAAGGACACAGTCAACAAGACAAAAAGGCAGCCCACAGAATGGGAAAAAATATTCACTAACCCCACATCTGACAGAGGGCTGATCTCCAAAATTTACAAAGAACTCAAGAAGCAAGTCTCCAAAACACCAAAGGATCCAATTAAAAAGTGGGCTGCAGAACTAAATAGAGAATTTTCAATAGAGGAGTCTAAAATGGCTGAGAGGCACTTGAGAAAGTGCTCAACATCCTTAGCCATCCAGGAAATGCAAATCAAAACAACTGAGATACCATCTCACTCCTGTCAGAATGGTTAAAATCAAAAACACCAATGACAATTTATGCTGGAGAGGATGTGGTGAAAGGGGGACACCCCTCCATTGCTGATGGGAGTGCCAACTTGTTCAGCCACTTTGGAAATCAGTATGGAGATTCCTCAGAAAAATGGAAATAAACCTACCACAAGACCCAGCAACTCCACTCTTAGGCATATATCCAAAAGATGCCCATGCATACAACAAGGATGTCTGTTCCACTATTTTCATAGCAGTATTATTTGTAATAGCCAGAATTTGGAAGCAACCTAGATGCCCCTCAACCGAAGAGTGGATAGCGAAAATGTGGTACATTTACTCAATGGAGTACTATTCAGCAGAAAAAAAAACAATGGAATCCTGAGATTTGCAGGCAAATGGATGACACTAGAAGAAACCATCCTGAGTGAGGTAACGCGGTCACAAAAAGAGAAACATGGCATGTACTCTCTCATATATGGAATTTAGACATAGATCTGGGGAGTGTCAGCCTACAATCCCATGGCCAGAGAGTCTGGGAAACAGAACCTTCATTCAGTGGCTGATGGAAGAAGAGGCACACTCCCATGGCTAAGCACTGAGCTGAACTCAAGAAAGCCAGTAACAGAGAGGGAGGACTGATGACCAAAGGGATTAAGACTGGCCTGGTTTAACCCCCAGAAACAGCTGACCTGACAAGGGTTAACTCTTGAATCCCAGGCTGATGTCTGGGAATCCAGCATGGGACTGATCAAGACCCCCTGAATGGGGGTGTCAGTGAGGAGACCTAGGTAATCTATTGAGCCTTGGGCAGTAGATCAGTATTCATCCCAAGTATACACACGGACTTTGGACTCCCATCCAACAATGTGAGATGCACTCTCACCCTGAACTCTTGGGGGAGGGTCTAGGCCCTGCCCTGGATGAAATGACAGACTATGGACACCCCCAAGGAGGGCCTCACCCTCCCTGGGGAAATGAGGGGATATTGGGGGGTTAGGGGGAGGGCACGGGAGGAGGGGAGGGCAGTGCCCAGTGAGCAAACTGAATCTCTCAGAAGACTGTCGTGTTCATTTTTATTTGTGTTTCCTAAAATTTCATTTTAAAAACATCCTTCTGTTTAAACAAAAAAGCCACCCCTCCCCCCAGTAAAATCAGAAAAGTACCCTTGTAGTCTAAACTATCTGTACATGAGGGTAGAAGTTCCCAAAAGCTTGAGACCCAATCTGAGCTAATATCACCTGAAGGAACACCATGAAGGGCAGTATCCCAGGAAGTATGAGAGACAGCAGAAAACCAGGGGCTGATGGCAGATGAGACATGGATGCAGTCTTGTGGACCCCTCCTTGGGCTCGCCACCCCTGCCAACCCACGTTCTTAAACTCCCTGCAGCCATGGTTCACACCCTCGAGCCAAGAGGACCTCAGAAGTCTCTACCAAAGGTAAAGCAAAATGCCAGCAAGCAGTTACAGGGGGCAGGGCGCCAACATGCTCACAGCAGCCACAAGACAAAAGATGGAGGCTCTGCCGGAACTCAGCTGCGGAAGCCCCAGTGACATGAGTTCTAATGGGCAAGGTAAATTGTTTTTCCTTCTGTTAAAGCACGATCTCCGCCCCCCCCCCCATTTGACATGTACGGCAGAATAAAACGAGGGGAACTGGAGGGCCAGGACCCAGGGAGAATAGAGAAATGCTTAGCCCTTTAATGGACGCCGATTTTGTGAAGCACCCGGAGGTCCCATGGGCCCAGAGAATTAAACGCTGTCACTCAGGTCCGAAAGCAGAGATGTCCAGTTTGCAGACACTTGTCATAATTAAGCTAATGGCTCTGAAAATGTGCCTTGATATTAAATCTATCTCCACTGAGGAGCAGGGCTGATTAAAACCGCAGCTTGACAGTTAGTGATTAGCCTCTGCTTGCTGAGCTCTGGGACGGAACTGGCCAGATTAGACTAACCCCTGCCCCTTCTATCTGGCAGCTGGCAGCATGAACCCCATGTCTACCCTTGCCTCCTCCTCAGAGTAGCAGGCTATTTTTCATCTCCAGTCACACCTAACAGGCTCTATTCTGCCTTCAAGAGAAAGTAGCTCTCTCTCGGCTTGAAGGATGCTTGCCGAGTCAACGCCAAGCTAGAAGCACGGTGCGCCTCCACACTGTTGCAGAAGCTGTAGCCAGCCGTTCAGGGTCCTTGTCTGGAAGATGGAATATCCAGACAAACTGAGGGGAATGGCTGTACTCTGGCTGATCTTGGTGTCAGGGAATCTCGAGCTCAAGACGGCAGAGCTGTCTTTGTGTCTCCAGAACCTGACTTTGGGGCTGACCTTGGGGCAGCATTGGAGCCACTAGAAAGAGCCTGAGAGGACCAGCTCCTTTGAGCTGACTGGAAGGCAAAGCTCACCACTCACACACTACTCTTTGCCAGGGACAGACCAGGTTGCTCCTTGGAGGGAGAAGGCAAAGACTGCTCTCCTGTGCCGGGATTCAACTTCCTCCCACAAGCGTGGACCCAAGAAGTTACTCTGAAGGACTCTTCTGCACTCGGTGGTTCAGAACTTTAGCTTATAGGCGGTAGCATCTCTTCGTTGTATCTGGTCTGTTTTAAGATTATTGATCACCCCCAAGGGCTCCGGTTTACAGCCTTGGTCTTCTCAACACGGAGTGGGGATTGTTAGGACGAACTGGCTGGTCCTCTCCATTCGGTACCCAGGACCTTCACAAGCAATTAGACCCCTGCAGTAAAAATGTGCAGAGTGGGTCAGGGAGATGCTGTCTCCCAGTCCTCTCTGTTGTGTCACTTGAATCCCTTTAGAAGGTATCAGGTACTGTGCCCTATCCCCAGCTCTCCTAAATTCCCATTAAAGCCTAAATTTACCTTCCAATAGCCCCCCTTTTCAAGCTAAGGGATTCCCTGCTTGGGACAGTATTAGTATTTGCTGCATCTTGGGGTTCGCTTAGGTGCCCTGGAGTTGACTGTTGAAGAGGGTCAGCCCTGTTCAGCCACAGCACCAGTGATGTCATCACAAAGCTTGCTCCCGCCCCCTCATTATTTGGACATTAGTCTCTGTTGATGGCTTGCTTAGAGGTTTGATTGTGAGTTCGAGACCAGCCTGGTCTACACTGTGTTAGTCTTTTCAGGGCGCTCTCAAAGGTTTCCTATGATCACAACACCACCCTTGTCAGTTATTTTCTCCATTTTAGAAATGTGTAAAACGGCTTTAACCATGGGACTAGTAAATGGCAGAGCTGGAAGTACAGCTTTTGTTGGCTGATGCACCTGCCCATGGAGATGACTGTCTCGTCTCCGAGGTGCAAGATGAGCTTTGAGCTTGTATCAGATTTCCACTTCTTTATACATGAATTTTCCTGTTGGATTCCTTCCTTCCTCCTTTCTTTCTTTCTTTCTTCCTTTCATCCTTTTGGAGTGTGGAAGGTTGTTTAGTGCTGTGTTTTCTTCTTCCTTTTTTCATTTCTATCTCCCACTCCTATAAAAAATACTGGATGCAGGTGTGGTGGGGACATGCCTATCAGTCTCAGTTGGTCTAGAGGCAGAGCCAAGCGGACCATAAGCTCGAGGCCAGACCCTGGTTCCAATTTTAAAAGCTTGAAGGTGTTTGCCTAGTATATTTAAGGCCCCGAACTTAACCCGCAGTACTGTAGAAAGACATGAGCAGTGAAAGGCATCTCCTAAACTGTCTTTAAGGGCGACAGGGAGAAAGAGAAAGAGTCTGCGAAAGGCTGGCAAAGGTGAAGGATACAGAGCAGAAGATACCGAATTGGGACTGGAGAGAGATTGGTGACACAAAGACGACATGACAGGAGCCTAGCTTACTTGTCTGCTAGCTCCCCCAACACCCCAAGGTCAGACTCCTTCCAGGCACCAGACCCCACCCTCCAAGAGGCTGTCACATGTTAGAACACCATTAGGAAAGTGACACCCAGTTAAAGGAGTCCCCTGTCCAGTGACCCAGCTGACACTCCTGTCTGACCCGTCCCGGTCTGGAGTGACAGCCGCTCCTTCTCTCTCATAAGTGAGGCCTCTAATTGTGCTGAGTGGCAATGCCTCCGATGCCCAGGCAGCCTCGTGCGGCTCACTGTCATTAGCTTTCTTACACGGTTCTGAAGCCTTCCGCTGCCACAACAGTAATTACCAAGAGATTAGGCAGGCATTAAGCACTCCTTAATTTGACACATTGCAATGATCTCCATTCAGCCTTTCTGCTCGAATAACTCTCAACAAATATTTCAGAGGCTACCAAAATAAACAGAAGCGCTGTGTTTGCACAGCTGAGTCTTTCCCGCTTCCCTGAATGCCATCAATTCCAGGTAGGGGTAAAATGTGGTACCTCTAGGAGATGGGCAGGCAGAGTAGGGTACAGAGGGGAGAAAAGGGAAAGTCTCTTGTAAGGGCTCTAAGACAACCTGAAGACGAGAGTTGAAATACAACGGGAAGAAATTAGTACAGCAGCATTAACATATGACATGCTATGACTGATAGCAATTTAAACCGGCCCATTTTTTTAAAGCAAGTGGTTACACAAGAACCCAGTAAAAAAGATAATCAGTAATTTTATCAAAGCCACCACATTAGAATAAAACAATAATTGCAGTGAATGGAGTTATGCTGCTGTTGCTGGATTTTTTCCAGTGGGTTATTACCTTAAATATTATTCATTAAGTTGCAATGGAAAAGCCACTGTAAATATGTAATAAATCCCAGAGGGACCCATAACAGGGAAGATGGGCTCATTTGGTAATTACGACACTTTGGAAGTTTAGTAATCCCTTTTATGTATTGTTTTATACACACACACACACACACACACACACACCCTTGACTATTTAGATTAGAGCTAGCTGGATATGGATGGCACTGTATCCCAGAGTTCTCTATACTTCTCTTAAGCAAGATGCAAGAGAGATAAAATGGGTAACCACAAAAAATAGTGTTAACTTTCCCAAGAAAAACATCTTACAGGAAGAGATGTTTACTTTGGTTTATTTCAAAGCCTTCAGTCCACTGTTGTTGGGTTCCATTGCTGTGGGCTTGTTGTGATAACAGGAAATTCTGGCAGGGAGGGTATAGAGAAGCAAATCTGCTGCCCTCATGGTGGTCCTGAGACTGAGACAGAGAGAAATAGAGAGGGATATGGTACCCTTCAAAAACCATGCTCCAGGACCCACTTCCTCTAATAAGCTCTTACCTCCTAACAGCCCATTCAGCTGTAGTTTGACACTGTTAGCATCCTTATGCTCTATGCACAGTGTCCAAAGAGGAGAATGGGACATTTAAGCATGGTTGAATAGGAAAAGAAGTCTAATGGTCAGTTAAAAAAATGGAATTATTACATAATAGAAAGATGTTTGAAAGTCAGATGCTGGGGTCAGAGTTTAATTGGGCATCTCCCAGATTTCCACAGCATTCCTCTCTAACTAAAGGCTGCCTTCCTGAAATGGATCCAGTAGACCATCATGGTCAAGGGCAGTGATTGGCTCAGTGCTTATAGAACTGTAACGTAGGATGCCTGGAGTATTTTCTTTCCCTCTGGAAAGACATCACTGTTCACTACTATGCTGGTTATTCTTGTTGACTTCATACATACTAGAGTTACCTAGGAAGAGAAAACTCAAGCGAGGAATTGACTTAATCACACTGGTCTGTAGGCATCTCCACAGGGCATTTTCCTGGTCGATGATTGATGAGGGAGGGCCCAGTCAATTGTGGTGGCAGTCATGGTCCTGAGTGCTATAAGAAAGCAAACTGGGCGAGCCATGGGAAACAAGCCAGCAAGCAACATTCCTCCATGGCCTCTGTATCAGTTCCTGAATCCAGTTCCTGCTTGGGCTTCCTTAGAGGAAGGACTAACCTGTAAGACATGTTAACCCTTTCCTCCTCCACATTTCTGTTGGTCAGAGTGTTTTGTCAAAGCAACAGGGAAGCAGAATTTCTTATCTATTATTTCTTAGAATGACTGCCTTTCAGACTGAGCTGGAGGTTGCAGTTACAGGTGTCATGAGTCACCCTGACTTCCACACATAACTCTTCTGCTGTCTCTCAACCAGGGGTGGTGGCTCCTGAACACTTAACTCACTGAAGTGTAAACAGTAATACAATAGCTCAGGAATCAGCAAACTACACCCGTGGGCCAAACCAAGATCACATGCTGTTCTTGGATGTTAAGTCTTCCTGGAACACAAATTCACTCAATAATTAACATTTATCTATGATACTTTCACACAGTGTGGTGGTTTGAATAAGAACACCCTCCATAGCCTTATACATTTTGATGCTTGGTGAACTGTTGAGGAAGGATTAGAAAGTGTGGCCTTCCTAGAGGAGATGTGTCACTGGGGTTGGACTTTAAAGTTTCAAAAAGCTTATGCCAGGGTCAGTCCCCCACCCCTCAACTTCCCCTTCTCTGCCTGCTATTTATGAATCAGATGTAAGCTCTCAGCTACTGCTCCAGTGCCATGCCTGTCTGCTCCCCACCATGATGGTCATGGGCTCACCCTTGGAACTGTAAACAAGCCTTCAATTAAATGCTTTCTTTTATAAGTTACCTTAGTTATGGTGTCTCTTCGAAGCAAGGCACACAGCAATGGTAATTAAACAATTAAACAGAGAGTTTAATAGTGACAACGAAGAACATTTGCCCCCCCCCAAAACCTGATATCATTAGTACTTGGTCTTTCACATAAACAATGTAGACAGCCGATGAATAAATGAATGGCTGAAGGAACCTTACGCAGATATAAATCTATAAGCATGGGAAGATTTACTCCATAGTGCTGGTGACATCCAAAGGTTTCTAAAATTGCATGTTAGGGCTCTATCCTTTGTTCTCTCCTTTTCAGTACTTTTATTATGACTTAGACCAAGATACAGATGGGAAATACTCCAGATTTCCAAACAACGAGAAGACGAAATGGATAATAAATAGATTTGATGACAGATTCAATATTCAAAACAACTATGACAAGCTGGAATAAAGGACTAAGTCTAGTCAAATGACAAGGAAAGGAACAAACAAAGCCCTGTGACAGGGTCCTATCTGTCAATGTCTCGAAAGTAGAACTGGGTAAAGAAGAGAGACCGAGGATGTTCCTCAACAGCTCGTCATGGAAATGACTTCGGAGTTGTAACAGATACATCATTGTGACAGCAGATAAGGCTCCCCCAAAGTCAAATTTATTCTCCAAATGGGATGTTACACAGAACAAGTGTCAAACTCACCTTCTGTGCTCATAGATATCCGTCCATACCGGAAGTATTGATCCCTGTAACTCAGCAGTAAGGAAGCCATTACAAATTTCTAGAGTTTACCTGAAACACAGTGACACATTTCAGTTTCACTGTGGCTTTTAATTTTGAAATATTTTCACTTTGAAATATTAAGGATGAACTATGATTATGGTTTTTACTGAGGAAATTTCAAGGTCAGGTGATTAGTATATGGGGAGTCGAATCTACACAGGGCAGCTCCTGAGCCACCTCCTCTAAACTGCAAGGGCCCCACCCACTCCACGGTTGCATTTTGAATTGTCTTTGGAATACAAGCATTCCTCCGGGGATGAAATGCTTACCTTAGATAACGAAACATTAAAACCTTTCTTTGCAAACCATATTTGAGAAGGTTACAGTGTTGAGCTTGAAAGAAGATGAGTTGTCTTTCAGCTGTAGCCTCCCTCCCTAGCTCAAATCCATGCCCACCCTTTTCATCCAGTTCCTCACACGTGGCTACATCCAACCGTGGTGAGTGCAACTGGCCAGTAGAGTAGGGTGGGCTAGCTGCTTTGAAAGCCACACCTAATTCTCTGGCTGTTACACCAAAAGTGCTCATTTCTCCGGCCAATCAGAGCCCCCACGATTGTAAAGCTCTTCAGAGCCCCACATGCCTCCTGTCCTGAGGCTGCACTGTTCTACTCAATAACAGCACAGGTCCTTGAAGCCTTCCATCTTCAATACAGAAGAAAGGTTGTGTCACACTAGGAAATGTTTCAGGAGACCCACTCTGGCCATTTCATAGGCACCAGGAACTCAGGAAAGTGGACAGATGGCCATAGGCATCAGGAACTCAGGAAAATGGTCCTGGAGGAGAGGAGAGTATGGGTGTGGCTGAGCATCACCTTCTTGCCTGTAGAGCTTCAGAACCCTCATTGGGTCATCCACTAGTGCTTGCCCTCAATCCCTCATAATGGAGACTTACAGTATGTGTGTGAGCCATCTGTGGGGACCCCCAGAGATAAAACGACCAATTAGGTTGCAGTTTCCAGTTTCTATGAATAGCTGAAGCTATCTTAAACCACCTATGTTCAACAGGGATGAATCAGAAACTCAGGAGTTAGCCCAAGCTTTGTTAGGATGAGAGCAAGCAGTAAGGGTTTTATGGTAGATTCCAGCTGAGGAGTAGGAATGCATCAGGCCGGAAAGCAAAGACAACTTGTTCGGGGAAGGAACAGCAGGAAGCAATGCTCAATGCCCCAGGAATGTTGGGATGCTCCGGGTCACACAATGGACTCAATGTGACTGAGCAGGGCCATGTGGGACCTGTGGCAGGACATATGCTAGACCAGCGGTGGGCTGACATCCAGTGTTACAGCTGTGTGGTCAGAAGGCAAGATGAAAGGCTGGCCTGTCGCAAGACAGGGCAGTAAGTTATGGCGGCTGGTGTAGTTGGATCAGCCTCTCCAGTGACTCAAGACAGGGCAGTAAGTCATGGCGGCTGGTGTAGTTGGACCAGCCTCTCCAGTGACTCAACTCATTTGTGGTCAATGGTATCCTTCATTTACGGTTGCTTTAGCAGACAATACATTAAGATTGTGGCGTTTAAGCCCAGGGTTGTTAGCTTTGAACGTTGTCCCACCATAGCTCATTCATAATTTGCTTCTCCTGGACCCTCACCTGGGAATAATTTAACCTAAAAAACCTGCTTCTCAGCTACTTTTGCTCATTATTTCTGGTCCCACTCACTGCTTCTCAATTGCTCCAGTGGGACTCATGAAAGCCTCTTATTACTGTGTCCAAAGACAGACAGATTGGCAGAGTCTTCCGCATCCCCTGGGCAGCCAGACTTCTCCATAGTCCTCCCCCTCCTTAGAGACTGCAGACACCTGGGGATTTCCTCCACTCCACAGACCTTAAAGGTGCAGGTGTCCATAAAAGAGGTTCTCATGCTTGCAACAAGGAGCTGGATTCGGCCCTAAACGCTCCCTGGCCTGGCCACATTTCTCTATCATGCAGCCTACACAATGATTTGACCTGACACACAATACTCAACTCAGTCTCCTATAGACCTCTGTCCTCGGTAGCTTTAATTGTCAACTTGATACAGTTTAGAGTCACCTGGTGATGGAATCTCAACTGAGGGATTGGTCAGATTAGATTGATCTGTGGGCATGCCTGTGGGGAATTGTTTGGCTTGCTAATCTATGTAGTCCAGTCCACAGTGGGCTGGTGATCCTGGATAGATAGATAACCATGTGCTATTGAGCTAGCAGTATGTATCTAGGATCTGCTTGGTGCTCCAGTTCCTGCTCCAAGTTCCTTCTATGCTGGATGGTAACCTGTGAACTGAAGTAAACCCTTTGTTTTATGAGTTGCTTTTGGCCAGTGTTTTATCATATAAACAGAATAGCCTCCAAACTGTGTTAGTATCCCATCCCTTATCTAAGACTTGACCCGTCTCCAAGGACATTGTAGAGACCTTGACTCAGCCCATCATGGCTCTACTGAGCCTTTGTTTTAGACTGTTGCACTACAGGGAGTGATGTAGAAGGCTTTTGCTTCTAGTAGCTACCTTCTTTACTACAATTTGAGTAAGAAATACCCCATACACTCTAGAGTAGGACACTGGATCCTCAACTGGTAGGGCTATTTTGGAAGGTTATGGGAACTTTAGGGTGTGGGAGGGACTTGGCTGAAAGGAGCAAATCGCTGGCGACGGGCTCATGAGGGTTATTATCCATGACCTCGTCCTGCCTTACCTTCAGCTTTTTGTCCATGAGATGAGACGTCCCTCTTCCGGTTACTCCCACTGCCATGGTATTCTGCTGAAGATCATCGGATAGGTTACCATGGACTAAACCCTCTGAAGCAGTGAGCTATGATTTGGTTTTGCCAGGTCTTCTATCACAGAGACAAGAAAATACTACCCCTATGTGCTTCACCTCCTAGTATGCTCAAGCAAGTGGGGTGAACAGACCACACCCACCGTCTTCTTTGTCTAGGGAGATAGAAAAGGGCAAGGATGAGCAAAGTGTGGTCAAAGCACTGTGAATAACGTCTCCTGGGAAGGTGGAGATGCTGAAATCCACATCATTTTTTTTTCTATTGGGAGCTGGAAACAGATCCAAAAAGGGATCCAGAAAAACATCATTTGCTAAGAATTGGGGAAGGGTTAATGGCTCTCTGGAGATGAATTCTATTGATCACGGACATAATCTGGGATGGGAGATCAGTGTAGACCCACTAAAGAAGACCAAACAGTACTGTAGAACCTAAAAATCAAGGGAGCAGCCAACTCCAAGCTTTGCCAACGAGCAAGCTTTACCAAGCTAGGGCGTTCCCATCTGTAAGGCACATAGTAGAGGGGGTGCACAGTACATCTTCCTTGAGGAGCTGTCAGCAGGATAAGGAAAGAATGCTAAATGCCACGCTCTGTCTTCAGTGGAAGAATGCGGCTACAGGAAATCGATCCAGGAACTAGTCGACGACGCTATAGCCAGACAGATTTCAGCCCTGAGGAAGGGAGACCTTTTCACTTGCTGCTACCAAAAGATAAGACAGGTATTTCTTGACTGTTGAATTCCATGTCACTGGTGGTAACCAAAGAAATGCAAGCTAAGCACATTCCCAGGTAGAGGATTCAGGAATTCCTGCATGGCAGGGCAGATGGGCTCTGAAGCCTCTCCCTGGTTGAAGCTTCTGAATATCTGGATTTTGCCCTTGCTGAATTAAAAAAGTACAGGAGCCACAACCCTCCTAGACAGATAATCTCTACTCTCTAGTGCCTGGAAACTGAGGCCTTCCATTGTCTGGTTCTGTGCCTAGCTCTTACTTGCATGTACATCCACGCACTGGCTCTTTTTTGTAGGGTAAGAAGGAAGTAGGTCACCTGAGGTTTATTTCTCCAAGCTCTGTAAGTAGAACGTTTTCATATAAGTAAGCCCCTGAACCATCAGGAGAACCTGTGCCCTCAAACAGTAATGAGATCTATCGCTCCCTTTTAACAAATGCATCTTCCCTGAGTGCTAAGTAAACCATCTCCATTTGCAGTGTCAATATCAGCGCAGGCCGTCCCTGCCTCTCAAGCAGCCCAAACAGATTGCAATTGGCTGCCAGACCTGGGTCCTGTGCTCAGTGAGGGCTGTCAATGGGCATGTCAATAAGATACCGGGACTATTGATCAGCATAGGCATTTAGGGGTCATGGGTCGATGAGAACTCATGCCAAGAGATGTAGAAAATGATAGCTTTCAGATAAAGGCAGCAAAGTGAGCTTCCCAGAGGAGAAATAATATAGCTCAATTTCCCCTGTCCTGCTGTTTGTCAATTTCCCTTGGTTTTCATGGAGAGGGGAGGAGTGGGCAAGGGAGAGACAAGTAGGGAGGGGGGAGGGAGGGAGAGAGAGAGAGAGGGGATGCAACTCAAGTGTTTGACTGAAAACACTTCAAGGAGTGAAAAATCAACAGCCGCCATGAAACCATGCGTCATTCCCCATGCCGCTATCCACATCACAAGGAAAAAGACCCAGGAAAGCAGTGTTACTCAAAGAGGCCACTTCAGAGGACGAGGAAGAAGATGCTGATGCAGAAATGACTTCTGATGGAGCCACAAACACCAGTTCAAGTTGCTGTCTGGTCCCAGCTATGGGATTTTCAGCTAGATGGAAAAGATTTTTTCCCCCGTGAATCGTTTGATATCCCCCAAGATGACCCGAGGGAGGGGTCAGGCAAGGTGTCCTTTGAAGCAGGGTGATTTGTGTTCATCACTGAAACAACACCTGCGAGATGGCTGAATTCTGGTTCCCCTGCCTCCTCACTACAAATTCACATCGTGCCTCTGTAACCGCTGAATGTGACGGCATTTAGAGATGGGGCCTTCAAAAGCTGAATGGTTAACTTGAAGTGAGACCATGAGGCAAGGACCTGGTCCACACATGACTGGTGTCCTTAAACGAAGGGAATCTGGACACACAGGAGAGACCTAAGAAGTGTGCACAGAGAAAGGACCAAGAAATGATACACACAGAAGGTGCCTGTGTGCTAGCCATGGGGTGACCTCTGGTGCCTGTGTGCTAGCCATGGGGTGACCTCTAGGGCCTGTGTGCTAGCCATGGGGTGACCTCTGTGCCTGTGTGCTAGCCATGGGGTGACCTCTGTGCCTGTGTGCTAGCCATGGGGTGACCTCTGGAGAAGCAACAATGCTGGAGCCCCCAGATAAACTTGTAATGTGAGTCTCCTGTCTATAGGATTTTATTATAGTTGCCCCAGGAAATATGGGTATGGGGAATGGCAGATGGGATGATAATTATTTTAACTATTCTGTGCCCCAGAATTTTTAATGTTTTCACGCTATGAACATTGTCATTTCAAGTTTTCATGAGCTGACTTAATGCAAATTAAATGACTCAATTTTCTGATAACTGGTTTGTACAGAAATACTTATCACAAGCACATTTTAAAACCATTTTTGCTCCTCCCCCATCCTAGGTTTGAGAGATAAATCTAGTCACAGAAAAGTCAGTAGTCACATGTGAAGTACGTAGAAGTCAATCAAGTGGCAAAGAAGTCGGTTTAAAGCCTATGACTGAAAACCCTGGTAGAAACCCCTACAACTTCTTCCTGGGTGCAAAGGAACGCCCTGGGCTCAGCTCTTGTGCATCTCTTCCTGTCCGAGTGGAGCTCTGTGGTGACCTCATATGTCACTTTGAAGATTTTCTCACTCTCTTGATTCAGATTCACATTCCAGCTCACCCCCCTCCCCCAGACAGTGAGATTTATCTTAAGTCCTGCCAGTCAGCCCTGGTACTCTAATTCAACTCTGAAAGATGCTTAAAGCGGTAATTCAGCATCCACGTGTAAAAGTTTAGGTGATGCTGCAGGGACGGCCAGGGGGAGACATGCTTCAACTGGGGTGGAGCTATGTCACCCGCCATACTTTGTGACCTAGCCTCACCATGTGAATGTTCATTCATTCACTTGAAAAGGTAAATGTTGGTGATAATTTTATTGTGCTTGATGCAGAAAATGTCATTAAAATGACAAGAAACAGAACAACATCACCACCAAAAAAAAAAAAAAAGATTTAGCAAAACCTGGAAGAAAGCTGGAGGAGGAGGTTGAACTGACGAATAGCGATATCGATAAAATTTTGGAAATGAGAAGTGTCATGACACTTAAGAGAAAGCTGAACTCTATGCTGGCAGAAAAGAGATGCCCCAAGAATGAAGACACTTCACATGTAGCCTTAAAGTTTCAGAAATCAGAGACCAAACACCTCCAAAGCAGGGGTATAGTGCCAAGGTCAAAGAAAGAGGGCCGATCAAGTCTTAAAACCCAAAACTTACAGGGGCCCTCTTCCACCCAGAATGCCTGTGGCCCCTTCTATGCCGGCATAGGAGTTGGAAGGATCACAGCACAGTGTGTTTCTCGAAGTGTCACTCTGGAGCCAGCAGGATCCATTTCACCAATCTGTAGGCTCCACCACAGACAACTGAATCAGAAGCTTTGGGATGGGATCAGCCGACATCTGATTGGGACAATAGCAGTGACTGAAAACTGGCGTGTGAGCCCACTGTGGAAGTGGGTGATGGGCGGCACCAGGGAAGAGTGTGGTATCAGCTCCCCAAACCAGCAGTGGCCATTTCTGCCTTTACCGTTTCATCCAAGCTGGTCTCCAGTTTCCCTTCTGAGAATAGTTACAAACCAAGATAGCAACCCTAGAGCGGAGGTTCTCAACTTCCTAATGCTGAGACCTTTTATACACGGTGTGGTGACCCCGACCACATCTCACTGCTACTTCATAACTGTAATTTTGCTACTGTTATGAATCATAATGCAAATATCTGATATGCGGGAACCAACTCAGACTGTTACACCTTTCCACACACACACACACACACACACACACACACACACACACCCGCAGACATGAGACACTCAGTGGCTCTCACTGTTTCACTCACTGGACTGGAACTCATGAGAGGCTGTGAAAGATGGCCTCTCTCTCTCTCAGGAAGTGTGCCCACACAAATCAGGTCAGTGCCAAAGTGTCTATCTGATTTCCTGCTTCCAAAGTTTTATCGATATGGCTATTCGTCAGTTCAAACTCCCTCCTCCAGCTTTCTCCCAGGTTTTGCTACATCTTTTTGTTTTTGGTGTTGTTGTTGTTCTGTTTCTTGTCATTTTAATGACATTTTCTGAATCAAGCCCAATAAAATGCGTATCTACAACATTTACCTTTCTAAATGAACGAATGAACTTTCACATGGTGAGAACAACAACAAAAAAAAAGAGGTGTGGACTGTGTCTGGAAATATGAGAGAAAAATAGAGAATTAAATATATGAAATAATTTACAAGGAATCCTCCTGAAAAATTAATTGAAGGGTTGGGAGACTTAATTAAAAAACCCTTTGCAGGAAGGATGAGTTGCAAAATGGTATTTTCAATGCCAAGAAAAAGGTTTAAGAGAAGTGGCCAGTAACAGGAAAGAGTGGTATATGAATAATATAGGGAGGAAAACTGAAGAGATAATGAAGATGCAAAACAAGTTTTAAAATCATGGCAAGAGTTGCTTGCGATGTGAAACTATACAAACCCACGCCTGCAAATGGGGGGCTCTGAGCTGGTGGAATTACTGTGGAAAACACTTTGGCACAGACAGATGAAAGTACAGAGTGCATATAAGCTACGTTATACCCATGGCCTCTTGTCGTCTGCCATAGAAAGCCAGGCACACACATAAGGAGATAATGGCAGCATTGTCCCTCATAGGAAAAACCTGGGCAACCCAAATGCCTGCCAGCGGTGCAATGAGTAAATAAACCATGGAATATTCACGTAGTAGAATAGACAGCAGTGGGAAGAAGTTAGGTACAGACAAAATTTTAACACGAGCAGCTTTCAAATACATAGAATTTTAAGTACTTATTGTAAAGAAAATAGTACAGTATTAGTCCGTTTATATCAAGATTAAGCAAAACTAAATACAT